TTAACATTTAAAAAATAGTACAATAATAATATATACAGTAATACCCCATTTAATGCCATTTCGTTTAGAGCTCTTTTTCAACCCAGGTTTTGAAGGGGTAAATGAGAAAGATGTCAAAGAAATAATTCAAGAAGCAGCACAATCTTTCTAATGATAAGATCAAGAAATGAACTGAACAAGAAGAAAACAAAAATGTTGACAGCAGTGATTCAACTTTTGATGACATTTGTAAAAAGGAGTTTGTCTATATAATAAATGGATCAATTCATTGAAAATAATCTAAATGTAATGCATGGTGTTAGAGATGCTCTATCTGTTTACGAAGAACTTTTAACAGAACAATGCAAAAGAAAAAGGCAAACAACATTAGATGCTTTTGTCACACAAAAGGAGAACACTGCTAACTAAATATAACTGACTTAGAATTTTATTTGTTCTTCAAGAATATTCATTTTGTTATTTACATTTTGTTTTTATTTTTGCAAGAAAGCATAATATGGTATTAATTTGGGCTTTAGAATATAAATGTTTGATTTTGTTTTTGGTAAAAATTCCAATATTTCCATGTTTAGCTCTGTTTCGCATTGTGCTCTACTTTGATGGAAAGTATCTCCCCCGTTAAGCAGGGTATTACTGTGTAATGTTATTGTTACTCATTTGTAAATTGTAGAATATAAAATAATACTTACAGCACCAATACTAACAATCCTATCAAAATGATGAATATAAACATGTACAAAAACTCGATTTAAACGTGTCATAATTTTTTGACAGAGGCACATAAATGATTTTGGAAATGGTATATCTGAAATTATATAAACAATATAAATAGGAAATTTTGTCATGAGTTATACAAATGCTAATATAATACCTGTTGAAACAGGAAATATTGCTTCATTATTGATTTTTGTTTCTATCCAATCCATTAACAATGATATATATTTTGGGGCAGGAACAGCTTTTGCTTGTCTATACCAAGCACTGAAATATATGAATTATATAAAAGCTATTTCTCACGTTAATCATTAATTACTTATTTAAGATAGATTAAATTACTAACCTTCATTTAAAATAAAATTATTATCTTCTATCTATTTGAACCAATTTAATATAATATAAATGTAGAACTATCAAAAACTAAGCTTTCATGCAATTTAATAGTTAATATAATTACACTGGAATAGATATGTAAATAATATAAAATATAAAATGTAACTTTTGAGCAGTATATTTCAAAACTCTTTTCATTTATTTCAGTCATTTAATAACTTGACCTGACATTTTTGTATCATATAAGAAGTTTTCCAAATACATTTTATTAAGCTCACCTTTCATGATCAAGCCATAAATATTCATACCGTGGTCCACCAGACATCGTAGGACATGTTTTGCTTGTGCAATAATCAGATACAGTTCCATAAATCAGGTTAATGCGATTGAAAAAATCCACCACTGAACAAACATAGCATTTAGATAAAGGTCATTGCTAAATTATACTAGTTGATTAAACTGCAATCATTTGTTTACCATGAACTGCCATCCAATCTAAAGGATCTTCACCTTCTGGCACTTGAACTATACTTCTTAAATTTATACCAGATGAAAGGCTAGCCTGGGCTTGTTTATGTAAGGAATATCGCATTGTGCCTCTTGTAAAACGTTTTTTGGGCCGAAACGTCTAAAATGTCATGTATTATAATTTGTCAATTTATGTAAATATTTCAAATGTTAAGCTAAAGGATTAAAACTAGGAAATCAGTTGCGCTCAATACCTTGCCCTTCTGAAAAAACTCCATAAATCCACTCATTGCCATATTTTCAACAAAAAATAATCATTTTAAAGTCCATTAAATATTTTTCACATGTTCTTTCTGATCTTTTGTCATTTCCAGACAGTTGGCATTAACAAAGTTGCCATTGCGTTTGCTAGATAAGGGGGCGTGGGCTTACTTAAATATTTGGTGTGTTTACGAAATACGCATACATGTCAAACATTGCACTAAAATCTGCTAATTTGACAGTACAAAAAATACACAACTGTGTACCAACATATAAAAAAAAGATTAAAAAGCGACAGTGTTGCCCATAGATAAATATCCCCGACACGTTCAATGAAACACATAAATATTTTTTAGTAGAAAAAATGATACCTTTTGCTCAGAAAATTAAAATTATATATGCTATTGTTATATTATGATATTATCATATCCATAGATAAGTAAACATAAATCATATTATGATATGATCATATCCAATAATAAATTTTAAAATTGATTAGTTAAGCTAGGCATAACTAGCTGTGCATGGCATATGGCATCGTGCCTTAAGGCAAATTGCAGGAACTTTCTGTACCAAAATTAAATTTTTTAACAAAACTTTAAAATTTTTTGAACACTGAAAAATTAGATTTTTGAGAATTTTAAAATTTTTGCAAAATTTGTTTTTTTTTTAAAAAATTTGAAACTTTTTTTATTAACTTTCCGTGGGGTAAGTTATAGTAATAGCAAAAAAAATCGAAAATAATTTTTTTTATATATCTTTACTCTTGAAAGGGTTCTGAACATTTTGGCATGCCTTAGAAAAAATGGATATATGTGTGTGTGTGCGGATACAAATTTTCGTCAACGATTTCGAGAAGAACGACCAACCGATTTGAATAATTCAAAAAACATTCGATTTGTATTGATAAGGAGACGTGTTGATTAGTTTTTGGCAAAGGCAGGTATAGCTGTTTCGAAGATACGGGGCAAAAAGTGCCAAAAACAGTAACTCAGTTTTTAAGAGAACGAAGTGTCTTATTTTAATAAATCAAAAAACATTTTACTTGTATTGACAAGATGAAGATGATTAAATTTTTGGGAAGGCAGGTCTAGCGGTTTCGGAGATCTAGTAAAAAAAGTAAAAAAAAGCCATTTGGCGATCAAAAATGATTATATTAGATGCACATCATATTATCAGATAATTTATGGAGATTTTAATAATGTGAATTCATTTTCTTTATATTTCTATGAGTTTCGTAACGTTGATTGTCCGTTAAACGACGACGCGGCTATTACGCGCTTCGATGTTTCGGCTCTATGCAGCTAAAGGAGTGCGATCGCTTTAAAAAAACGTTCAAAATTTCCAAAATATTTCAAAATAAAAAAATTTTTTTTCCAAAAATTCTATTTTTTTTTCAAAAATTCAAAATATCTAATAAATCTATTTTTTCAGTTAAAAAAAAATAATCTGAAAAATTATATTTTTGGTACGGAAAGTTCCAGCAATTTATCTCGTAACTAATACACATTGGTACAGAACCTACAAAATTTGTACTTATAATCAAAATCTCTATAAAATATCTGATAATTTGATGTGCATATGTTTAATTTTTGTGCGCAAAATAACTTTTTTTTTATTGGATCTTTGAAACCTCCGAACTTGCCTTTCCAAAAATCTAATCAGTTCTTCATTTCGTCAGTACGACCGAAATGTTTTTGGAATCATTCAAATCGGAGGTTCCGTTCTCTCATAAACTGAATTCTCATATTTTAGACACTTTTCCCCCCGTATCTTCGAAACCGCAGAAGTTTGCATTTGCCATAAACTAAACAGCACGTCTCCTTAATAATAGGAATCGAATGTTTTTAGAATTATACAAATCAGTTGATTCGTGTTGCCGAAATCGTCGATGAAAATTTGTAATTGCACTTACATACATCCAATTTTTCTATGGTATGCCAAAATGTTCAGAAACCTTTAAAACGCAAAGATATATAAAAATTTTCATTTTCAATTTTTTTTGCGATTACTATAAACTTACTCTGCGGAAGCTAAAAATACATATTTTATCTCACTTTGCAGAGCTAAGAGCACTATTATAATGTTGTATGACTTGTATGTTATAAATTTTGTTATGGCTATAAAAATTTCAAACATTTATATGAGTCATTGATATGTTATGAGAACGTGTTACCGTAACAGGCAGTTATATAAAGTATCATATCATTTCGAAAATATGGATTTTTAGATCGATCTTTATAACAGATATATTAATATTAACACCATGTTATCCATCTGTTGTGGTCCTCGTATCCCCAAATCAGCATTTAGGTTCTCTTGAAAATTTTTATTTTGCTTTTTATTATTAACAGTAATATGAATTTATTAGTCCCAAAAGCCTGTTGTGGTAACTTCTTAATAACGTGGCTTTACAAGGCAACCCAACGGCTGGCTTATCTTTTTTTATTAAAATAACTAACACTGATGACTTTCTATTTCATTTATCAATGCCGGGTAAAGACTGTTCACTTGGAAAACATATTTTTACTTATATTTTCAAATGAAAACCGATGTCACTGCTGCCTGACATCAAGCTGTCCGGTATGGTAATCGCAAGTATTACAAATTTTATTTTTGTGATAAACTGTGCTCTGTTTGGGAAACTAGTAACGAACGCTACGCCAGCTTGAACAACTTTGGCACGATATTTTTTTTTTTTTTTTTTTTTTATTTATATCTCGTATATATACATTATTTTCATATCTCAGTCAGGCAGAGTTGCCTGGTATGAGAGATTATGAAAACAGTTTTCATATAATATATACATTTCATTTGACTATAATAATCTATTTCATTAATATAATATCTATACGTATATATCTCGTATTTTTTTATTTATATCTTTATATTTTTTATTTATATCTCGTATATATACATTATTTTCATATCTCAGTCAGGCAGAGTTGCCTGGTATGAGAGATTATGAAAACAGTTTTCATATAATATATACATTTCATTTGACTATAATAATCTATTTCATTAATATAATATCTATACGTATATAACTAAAAATATCTTTATATATCACTCTTCTGTCTTCTTTGTCTTCAATTTCCTTATAGTGTTTTTTTATTTTTCTTTTAAATTTATCGTCATCTTTGGTCATCTTAATATTGTTTGGCAATTCGTTATATATTTTGCTGGCACTCCATATGACATTTTCTCTCTTTTTAATTTAAATTGTAAGTTAAGGGGTTAAAAAAATCAATATAATTATACTTACATGCAAAATCAAATGAAGTGTAAGTATGTATATGGTATGTATTACACCAAGGCGTTTTAAGCGTGCAGCAACCTGTTGGGCTTACCTCCCTAGTAGGGCAGGCAACTATTTTCAAAATATCATCTAAAATATAAACCAAAGTTGGTATAAAAAAATAAGACCTAATAGGTATTAGAACTAGTGGGCTGCATGACATCGTGCCTTTAGGCAAATTGCTGGAACTTCCCGTATCAAAAAAAAAAAAATTTTTTAAAATGATAAACATTTTTGAAAAAAAATTACTTTGACAAAAATTTACTTTTTTAGAAAAAAAAGACTTTGAAAAAACAATGCTTTCTTTATTTTGAAATATTTTAGTAATTCTGAACCTTTTTTAAAGTAATCGTACTGTTTTAACTGCATAGAGACGAAATGTCGAAGCGCGTAAGCGCCTCGTCGTCGTGTAACGAATAAACATGGCCAAATGGCATTTTTATTTAATTTTTTCATTAGATCTCCGAAACCGCTAGACCTGCCTTCAAGCAGATTTAATCAATTTTTCATCTTGTCAATACAAGTAAAACGTTTTTTTGAATTATTAAAATCGGACGCTCCGTTCTCTTAAAAACTGAGTTACAGTTTTTGGCACTTTCTGCCTCGTATCTTCGGAACGGCTAGACATGCCTTCGTTAAAAACAAATCAGCACGTCTCCTTATCAATACAAATCGAATGTTTTTTGAATTGTTCAAATCGGTTGATCGGTGTTCCCGAAATCGTCGACGAAAATTTGTATCCGCACACACACACACATACATCCATTTTTTCTAAGGTATGCCAAAATATTCAGAAACTTTTGAAAAGTGAAGATATATAAAAATTTTCATTTTCGATTTTTTTGCGATTACCTATTTCGAGGACTTATTTTTCTAACACCTATTCGGCTATTTTTTACTTGTTTATCTATGGGTATACGTAAACCTTATGAATGCAATTTTCGCCGCAAATTTTTCGGGTACGAGAAAGCTTTCGCATATTTCATTTCAATTTCAAACAATTTAATAACTTATTGAACGTTCATTCATTTTATTTTTCAATTCGATAAATTCATAAGGTCATCGGGTTACAGAAAAATGTTTACTCACAAGACTGGTGAGACGTGATGAGACGATTTCAATATGTAGACAAAATTAACAAGATAAAAGTGATCGTACCACTACTCGACTTCGATTTTTGTTGATAGTCGAAAGTAAGTGTTCGACGAAGTGATTATCATGGTGGTTCAAAAAGTGTTTTTTAAGATTTTGAAATCATTTCAAATAAATAAAAATGCGTGCCTTTATGTTCGACTATGCAAATCATATTCTACATCTGCAAATGTTACGGCAAAATTAAGTGATAGTGATACTACTTTTACGGTAAATATTGGTTCTTCAGAAGTATATAAATATCCTTATACATGGTTAAGGGATAACTGCCAATGCTCGGAATGTTTTCATAAAGGATCGCAGAGTAGAACTTTGAATTGGGACAATTTTGATGTTCGAATCAAACCGACGAATTTCAAAGTATGAAAATGTATATTATGTTATATATTAATTAACTTGATAAATAAACAGTTTCTTAACCAGTTAACTGTGATTGACGGGAATACTCGTCATGGAGAGGTGACAGAATTTTGTGCATCGCCATGCGTATATATAAGTGATCATGTGCTATTTGAATGGCGATTTTCAGAAAAAACAAAACAATTTCTCAAATTTCAAGATGTTATGAATATTTTGAGGCTATGCCGGTGTAAAATAAGTAGTTGTAAGTAGCATTCTACTTTAAGACAAATTG